AGGTTACTTTGGTCGGTTCCTCAAGGCTGTGCAGCCAAGGTTTGCTGTGGTGTGGTAGAGTTATTTTGAACTGCCTGTCCATATGGGTGTTCAGACAAGTCTCTTCTAAGTAATGCCAATCTTTGCACCCAATGAAACTGTGCTTTGCAGAGAGGGCCAAAGGGAAGGAACCAAAGGAGTTTGCACATCTTTGCACACTCTGCATCCATAAGGATGTTTGGACCTCTTATGGCTTGCTTTAATCAATGGGTGCTTTCAATTACCCTGGAAGGGTTACTGTGTTCTGACCATGCTGTCCCACCCATCCAATGTGTCCCCCAGGCACAGAGTCAGCTATGTGCAGCTACGGATACCTCCACAGAAAGCCTCAGGAAGAAAGAGGAAAATTCTGCTTCCCCTAAGAAGTCTGGCTCCTGTGCTCTCTGGTTCCCAGGCTCTCACATCTGTTCACGTGAATGAGTGTCCAAAACAGGCCAGGCCTGTGAGAAGAAAGTAGTCAAACAGTAGCCAAAGTCCATCAAGACTGCAAAAGCAGTGTTATCAGGTGGATTCATGCATTTTCTACTTGGAAAGCCAGCAAGCCCTTGAATGAGAAAAGGAGGACAGAGTTGACAGGCGGATCAGCTGACTTATGAGGTGTATCAGGTTTGGCCTAGAAAGGCTAAAGGTCCTTCAGAGCTTGGGACACAAGAGCAAACGCAGCAAAGCAGACTATCCCAGCAATGCCTCTTTTGGCCTTTGTTTGCTCCATCTCCTTGAAATATCCTGTATTTTCCTTTTTTCAGAGATGGGGGCTCCTGTTATTGTCTCTCTGGCTGTTCTGACCAGTGCTGTTGGGGTAAAGGGGAAACAGAATCACAAAGAACACAGTTTGCTGTGCATACAATGGCAGTTTTTTTTGTTTGATATATCTCAAAAATTGTTTTAGAGATTACACATAAAATAATTTTTTACACACAAAACACACCTGTTTGCCAAGATCAAAAGAAACCTGTTTTCCCAGTCATAAACAATGAAGCAAAGAGGAATGTAAAAACTGTTGTATTTCAGTCATCACTATTATGTATACTTTGTCAACAGGGGTCTGGAAAACTGAATCCCATACAAACCAGGTGACAGAACTGGGAAGATAATCTCAGAGCAGCTGTGGCTCTGTTAGAACCAGGTTCATCTACCAGCAGGATGGTGTGTCACTGCAGAATAATGTTCTGCCACTTTTCTCATAAAGGAATGGTGAGCACTTTGTGCCATCCTCTGGCTTTTCAGATTCACGCAGAAATGTTAGATGAAAATGAAGACCACTTCTAAGAATACCCCTCACCTCCAGATTCTTACTTGTATTGCACAGCAGCTATGCTAAGTAACAGTCATCCCTCTGTGAAGGATGACACATGTATTTCCAAAACTGGTTCTGCCAGGGGCCAAGAAACTGTGATGCTCAGGAGGTCACTCTGGGGAGAAAGAAAAAAAAAAAAAAGACGGGAACAAAGAACACTAGGGTGAAAAAATTTATTTCAGACGTCATTCATCCATTTGTCTATTTTAGGTATTTCTAAAGTGCCATAGTATTACTGAAGTATCTAAGCACCATCAGCACAACAGGAATTTACAGTATTCTACAGAGTTCCCTCAGCTGGCAGGAGAATCTGGGCACCAGCTGGCGACCATGGGCCTGGGATGGAGTGTGCTAGGGATGGTCTGCTGAAATGATAGTAGCTAATTACCTTTTGCTTTTTCCAGTAATCTCCCACTATGATCCTGAGGGAGGAGACAGCTGGCAGAGAAGCCACTGAGCTAGCTGCTGTGAAAGTAAACCTTCTGGTTCTTGATTTTTTGCACATGCCCATGCCTCTGTCTTCTGAATTTGGCTCATGAGTTTGTGCTGCCCACAAAGCAATTAAATCACTGGAATAAGAGGAACATAGCCTGTAATTTCTGCAACAGCAAAGGAAGGGTGGTGCCCAGATTCTCCTCTCCAGCTAGATGATCACAAACAGTAAAGGTCAGACAGGCTAGGCGAAGTGAATTATTTCAGCCAAGTGACACTGAACAGTGAAAACTTAACAGTGGCTGTGGAAAGGAACTCCAGAAATGTGCTTACACTGGTGAGCAATCCAATCCTAGCCGCTAAGACTACTGCACTGGCAATGTGCTGTGAACCCTAAGGCCACTTTGATGTGACATACAGTTTTAAATAAGTTCATAAAGATCTTAGAAATAAATGCATGTCAATCCTTTTCATTTACAGAGCACTGTTAAGTATACACAGCACTTCACAAAGTATGTAGAAAGGAAAATAAATGCTCTGAGGACTGCTGTGAAGGCATATTCAGGGGCAGCTGGCTTCTCAAACCAGAATCTTGATGTGAGGGTTTCCCCTTGAGTTGAGCTCAGCTATGTGCAGACCTGGGTTTGATTTCATTGATCTGCTACAGCGACTCAGTTCAGATTGCCAAAAGAAAAGTTGCATTCCCAAGACACCTTTCCCTGGCAAACAGGGCTTCCCAGCCAAACAGACAGTTTTAGTGCTGTAGATTTCCTTTAGGAAACTTAAACTGGAATGAGACAGACCCACACAAATTGAGCAGTTCTACAGCTGGACTGCAGAATAACCTTTGAATTCAGTTAAATCATTTTTAGGTAGGCTCATTGCCTACCAACTGAGAGCTGTAATATCCCTTCTGAAAGTCTGCTAGCAAATGAAAATCTTGATGCTTCTGGAACCAATTAGATGACCATTAGTTACATTTCCAAACCACTTTCCAGAAGTGGAACAGAAATCAAGAAGTCATTGGTTTGAAGCTGTTCATAAAAAAAACCAAAGCAAACAACAACAAAAAAAACCCACAAAGCTAAACGCAAAAATGTGCATTTGCAAACAAAGGCTTTGGTTCCTGTGTAAACAAAGCCCACTCCATTTCTCAAAGCTCCTTCTACTTCCCTGAGCAGCTGCACATAAAGGTGCCTTGTTCCTTTCAGGAGCTGCAAACAATTTCATTCTCCCCCTACAGCTCCTTTTTATTAAAGTATATGAAAATAACATTTTATCAGCAGTTGAGTGTCAAGAAGTGGCTTGGGGCTTGCAGAAGGGATCCCTGCAATCCCTTGGAGAGTAGCAAGTTCTGTAGAGCAAGCTATTCACAAGCATCCCTGGCCAGCAGCTGCTCAAATCCATGGATCTTCTTAGCATCTTTATTTCCTTCACCTCTTTCCCACCACAGCTCCAGTCTTTTCACTGACTTCAGTCTGCATTCTTTTTTCCAGAGACCTACTGAAGCCATGGAGCCAGTTGCAGGATTAGTAAGGTACATTGCAAAACCAGAAATCTCTTCTATGCTCCAACAGTGCCGGAGAAGCACATTGGTCAGCATTGTCACTAAAATGACCAGCAGCAAAACAGTCAAAAATATAAACAATGTAAAGTGTTGCACTGCAATTGCTTGTCATTAAAACCATGAGGGGGTATATCCTACAACTGCCACTGATATGTACCTGTGTAAAACAAGGGGGAGAGCACTATGCTGAGTGACATTTAGAAATCATTCCTCACAACCATTGGGGCCACACACTTTTATATAGATACATAAATAAAATAACTCAATTCCAGATCTTACACACACACACACAAAATAATCAGTGTAAAACTGAATGTCCTGATGTGAAAACTCAGATGTTTTGGTACAAAACCTATTTCTCCCAGCTTCTTATTGAGAAATGCTAGTATACACAGTACGTTTAGCATTTTGAGAAGTTCTGATATGGTGTAGTGTCACACAGCTGGCCATTTTGACCACTTCCATGGTGTGTGCATGCATGATCGCTCATATGTGAGTGTGAAGATACACATAGTATAAAAGCTAGTTCATACATACGTGATTACATACATACAGATGTTATTTACGTGCACACACGCTGGTCAAAATGGGACTTGAGAAATACTGATATAGAGTCAGGTCAGTCTTAGTACACCATTGTTCTGTCCTATTGTGCAACATAGCTTACACCAGCCCATTTGAAACGTATCTGTGAATCCCAATTCTGCAGAAAGAGGAGGCTACCCGTACAAACTCACAGGCGACCTCCATACACCTGTCAAGTTGTGTACCACACTGTTAGCAGCAGCAGTATAATTCTGATTAATATTTTTAGGCCTCCAGGTATGATAGTTTTCTACGTCAGTTACCCACCAGTTCTGAGATTCCTGAACAGGCCACGTCCCTGTCTTGCAGCTCCCTTGTTCCTACCACCCAAGCAGCATTTGCAGAAAACCTTTGCAGGTAAGCCTTCCTTCTCTGGTTCAGGTATGCCTACATGTTCCTTTTACAAGCAGACTCAAATGATCTTTGCCTGTGCTTCAAGTTGGCCTGCACACTGCATAATGCAGTCTCAAGCTTCTCAGCAGGGCTTCACTTAGCTTTTACCTTCCAACTGCTGTATGAGACTGGCTTAGACCACAAGCATGGTGAGCTTCCATAGACCTCTGCAATAGGCCACATCATATCAGCTGCCAGCAGAACAAAGCCCCTTAAAGACCCCATCTCCCATCTTATTTCCCTCGACAAGACAACACGTGCATATGTTGCGTGACCAAGCAGCTTCTCATCGTGTGACCTGATGTTGTGAGTTCTCTCCTCAGACCCCCAGGCAGACACCTCTTGTGAGGAGGTAGGAGAAAACATCTGCGCCTTGGCCATGTGGCAGATGGCATCCGATTCTAGTACCGGGCAAAGAGGATGACAGAGCCTTGGGATGCAGAACTACCCACTGCAACCACTGCTGTCCATGCCCAAGGTGCGCTGGGAGGAGGAGGTGGCTGAAAAGGGCAACATGGGCCAAAAGCATTACTCTGCCCAGATGCCTATAATCCAGTGGCCCTGGTGTAGTCACACCCTTGTCCACCCACTTGTTCCTTAGGCACATTTTGGACAGGCCTCGACCAGGAGCTGCATCCTAGGTCACCCCCAGACCACACCTAGTGACACTGCCTACCACACGTGCACCCGCTGGTGTGAGACTAAGTAGGAGTTGCGACTGAAGCTCTTCCCACAGTGGGAGCACTTGAAAGGTTTCTCCCCAGTGTGGGTACGACGGTGACGGATGAGAGTAGAGTTGTCACTGAAGCAGGTCCCACACTCAGCACACTTGTAGGGCTTCTCCCCAGTGTGGGTGCGACGGTGCTGGACAAGGTGTGAGCGCTGGCTGAAACTCTTTCCACAGTCAGGGCACAAGTATGGCTTCTCACCTGTGTGGACACGCCGGTGGATGACCAGCTTAGAGCTCTCACTGAAACACTTGTTGCAGTCTGCACACTTGTAGGGCTTTTCACCTGTGTGGAGCCGCTGGTGGGCAATGAGGTTGGAGCTGTCGCTGAAGCGCTTGCCACACTGAGGGCACTTGTAGGGTTTCTCACCCGTGTGAAAGTTGGCGTGGCGGAGCAGGCCTGAGTTCTGGTAGAAGTTCCTCCCACACTTGGCACAGACATAAGGCCTCTCCCCAGTGTGGTTGCGCTGGTGCTGTACCAGGTGGGTGCTCTGGCTGAAGCTCTTCCCGCAGTCCTTGCACTGGTACGGCCGCTCACCCGTGTGGACGCGCTGGTGCTGGATGAGGTGGGAGCGGCGGCTGAAGCTCTTGCCGCAGTCAGCACACATGTACGGCTTCTCCCCGGTGTGGATCCTCTGGTGGCGGATCAGGTCAGAGCTGCGGTTGAAACTCTGCCCGCACTCGATGCAGATGTAGGGCTTCTCTCCCATGAATGCTCGCTGGTGCACCACTGTCTCCTTCCGCTTCCGAAAGCCGCAGTGAGAAGTCTTCCCCGGCCCCGTCTCTGGGGAGAGAAGGTCTGGCCTTGGACAGGACACTTCTCTGTCACAGCCCGGAGAAGCTTCCCTTATGAAAAAGTCTGAAATGGCCCCGCAGGGTTTGGCTGCCTCCGGCCCATCTCTCTGGAGATCCCTCTCATTTTCACTCATGCTCCCATCACCTGCCAGGACAGAAGGAGAGCCCAGACACAACCAACATGTTTAGTCATGGCCGGCGTCCCCCTCTTCTCCTCCACCCAGCCTGGCCACCGCAGCCGCCCCACACAGTCCCC